GGGGGGGGGGGGAGAGGAAGAAAGAAGAGCAGAGAAGAGGCAAAGAAGGGCAGAGGGCGGTGGGGGACAGCCACGCTCCTCAGTGCGGGGGGTCGCTGGGCTTGTTTGAAGAGAGAATGGTACTGAAGGGCTGATATCCCAAGTGCAACTGTTACTGGAGTCTGGGGGTTTTCGAGACAAGAGGGGGCCGGTGTCCCGGGGGTCTCGAAAACGCCGTCTTTTGCTGGAGAGATGTCAAAATTGAGAGATTTTAAAGGCCCACTGACCATCACCACAGACATCAAAGATCCACTGTCACTTGCACTCTCGGTGTGTTCTGTGCACATGCACACAAAGGCTCTCTTCACGGCATGTCGTCAGACACACACACAAACACCGAGTACTGTTAAAACGCATACATTCACTCTCTCTCTCGCCCCCCACCCGCAAACACACGGCCCACCGACAAACAGGCCTGCCTGCCTGCCACAGAAAGCGCAACCCAACCCATGCAGTGCCACGCATGCACTTAAACGACCCTCCTTGTTTCGCGCCCGCTGAGTGCTCAGCCATATCCATCCGCTCAGTGGGTACTGTACTTGGCTCATTCAGAGCTCTCATGCGCTCACACGTCAGACCCACCACATATATATGCAGCGTATGTATCTACACACACCAGGAAGGAATCCTTCGGGCAAACGAACCCAATCAGTCCATCGACAAAAAAAACGAAGCCCCTCTACCAACTGATAGATCGCCACACAGCCCGTCTGTCTGCTCTATCGGTCTGTCGCTACACCATCGCCAATGCGCCCAGCACATGGGCGTCATTATTGATGACGTTGTGGCGGAGGGTCACGCCGATGCCGTATCGGGACGCCTCCAGCCGCACTGCCCGAGCGATCACCTCGCACACACCCATGTGCTGCTGCGGCTGGGCGGCGCCGCCTACGGCGAAGCATCGCAGCGCAGCGACGCCGGGCCCCCCCACCACACGAACATTGCCGTGCCTCTGCGGCCGCTCCTGGCTGCCCTCCTGCTGCTGCTGCGGCACCGGCTGGCAGATCACACGCGCTGCGGCCGTGACGTACTGGCGGACGGCGTGGTTGATTTGTGTGCCGATGGGCTCATCGCCGATGGGG